AATGGAAAGAAGGAAGGAACTGATAATGAAAAGAAGGAAGGAAGGAACAAACGAACGAACTGGTGGGTGCCTTGCCTCCACATTGCAGATTGAGCATTAATTGATGGCACTAGATTCATTCCTAGCTCCAGATCAGAACCCTTTATTTCCCCCATTTTATATGTTTTTCCACTACTGTATTTGGACAAATAGATGCATACAATATACAACTTTTTTCACTATTTAGACAAATACAAATGTGTACAAATACCTTAAAATGTGCTGTGTCAGTTTCTTCAGATAAATCAAATAATTTATTTTCTTTTTTTTAAAGTGATGCAAAGCCTCAGCAATAGTCTAGCAGAGTCTGAAACGAAATTCCACTTTCTCTGCCCTTCCACTGAGCATTCACTTTTCACTTTGCAGATGCCTTGAAATGGTTCACTTATTAAGCCACTTCACAATATTGGAATTTCCAATCAGAAGGAACCTTGATGGCGGGGAAGGCTTCTTTTTTGGTCCATTCCCAGCTACCACATGCACAGGAAATGAATCAAACCAAAGCGATCCTACCCCCACCAAAAATTATATATACCTGATAAGGGTTCAGAAAGATATACAGTAGTAGGAACACTCTGGGGACAGTTTGGTTTGCTCCCGTGATTATGTTATGTGATTGCTGAAAGAAGGAGCAAACCAACCTGTCCCAGCAGTGGACATAAATAGTTTGATCGAGCCCTCAGTTCTGACTGAACCGAAACGTATATTTACACACACCATTCCAAAGTATTGACGGTGCTATCTGGGGCTGCTGGCAGTCTAAGGCTGAGATGTTTCTTAAGCAAATGCTACTGTTATCCTTTTAACAAAAGCTACCAAATGATTTGATTATCTCGCTGATTCGGTCAGGCCACCCAGAGGACTTGCCTCTCTCTCCCCCGACACACATATACCCTCTCTCTTTCCAGAGCCTGGGTATTACAAGGACGGTGAATTTGGGATCCGCTTGGAGGATATTGCATTGGTGGTAGAAGCACAGACCAAGGTGATGCCTTTTCCCTCCCTATCTTTGAATCAGCCACAAGATTCTGCCCGTTAGTGGGTGGTGAGGTGCCTTGCACACACAGCTAATCACTCTTGCTACCAGCTAGAAATATATGGGGCAGGTTTGGGGGGGGTTGGTATTTTGGCTGAGGTTTCTTCCCTCTTACCTTTCTAAGAGTCTTCTCTGCACAATCGAAGGAAGCGTGCAGGCTGTAGTCTCCGATCCAGGGGCAGTAGCAACAAAGTCAAGCTCAGAGGCTGTTTTCCAGTAGCAGCAACATTGAGAAGAAGAGGATTTGAATAAGACAATATCCAGAGATGGGTATTGTCCATTCAATATCCATTGAATGGTCAATGTGGCCTACTGCAGAAGTGAGTGGAAGGCGGATATGGATCAACGGATAAATCTCTGAGCAGCCTCTCAGAGTCTGTGACCACCTCCAGCCTGGCTGCCTTAAATTATATTGGGGAAATTTAAAATATAAATATATTCAGTCCAAATCAGGAATAGGTTGTAGTGCAGAAGGACTATGAGCTGTAGTTCCCACGTCATGTTTGCTGTTGATTAAAAGAAACACCAACAAATGTAATTGTTCTTCCCTGTAGTGTGGTTCATTCACATATGCAACTGTTTGGCAGTCATCATTTCACGCAAGCCATGCTATTTGAGGGCCAAAATAAGACATGGCCCTAACCGGGCCATTGAGAAGCAAGAACAGTGTCTAAAGATTAGCAAATAAATTAAAAAATGGAATGGAAAGTGTGCTAATGCATGACCTCCGAGATGGAGACATCAGTTCTGCTGGCAAGCAAGAGAACAGGTCCTTCTCCGCACTATTCCAAGGTATTTTGCTCTCCGAAGCAGAGTAGCAAGCGGGGTCCACCACTCAACGAGCAGGGTATCCGAAACTAGCCAGATTGCATAGAAGGCAGGTATCCTACCAAAACTGCTCACTCCACCCCTGGCTTCAGAAAAACAAAGATAACCTAACTAACAATTTGCTGCCTGTTCCTGAAATCCAACATCATCTTCTGCTCGAGGCAGCTGCCTACCCAACAGTGAGGCCAGCCCTGACTATTCTCTCTCTCTCTCTCTCTTTGTCGGCCACAGTACCAGGCGGCCGGAGAGCCCTACCTGACTTTCGAGGTGGTGTCCCTGGTGCCCTACGCCCGGAATCTCATCAACGTCAGCCTCCTGTCCCAGAAGCAGGTGGGTGGGAGCTGGGGGCTGGGTGGAAGGAGGTCAGAGGGACACACAGGGAGAACCCACTGCTAGGGACGATTTCACTCTTCCTCTTTTCTCTCTGCAGATCCAGTACATCGACAACTACCACAAGTTGATCCGCCAGCACATCGGACCCGAACTACAAAGACGCCACCTGCAGGAGGAGTACCAGTGGCTCCAGCGGAACACGCAGCCCCTTTCCTGCGCATCCTTGCTGGCCGCCTCCCTGAGTACGCTAGCAGTGGGCACCCTGGCCTCTACCCTCCTGCCTGGGACGCAGAATTGAGGCAGAGACACAGGGCCACCTCAGTGCCCTTATTCCTGGCACTTATGCCTACCTCTCCTTGCTGATTCCTCAGGATTGTGTGTTTGGAGTTTTGTCTTGTTTTTCACTTGTATCCTTCACCTGGGGTGGGCAGAATATGGGTCTGCGGGCCATACGTAGCCCCTGGCACATTTCGAAGCTTCTCCAAAGCTCCAAGTGACCACCCTGAGCTGTTTCGCTCCATATGTTGATATTTTCCCCCCCCCATCATTTCTGGACCCTGCCGTGTCCTGGAGCAGGTGTCGGTGGTAGAAGCTTGACCTTTAGACCCAGACAGGTTGCCTGCTCTGCTCTAAAGATAGGAAACAAGCAAAGAGACCATGCTTCAAATACCCAAGGGACGTTTCAAATTTAATCCAACCCATCTTGAGGCCTTCCCCCAGGAAAATAAAAAGCATGCATATATCTCTTATACAGTAAATTTCAAACAAATGTCTTCCAGTCTTTCACAAACAGCAAACTTCAACCAGGTTTACTAGCCCTTTGCCTGTGGTTTATGAGATGTTTTCAGACTTTTAATTCCCTGAGGAAGGCCTCGGTTGGGCTGAAACTAGAGATGGTCTTTGTGCGTTTCTGGACGATCGTTCCCCAAATACCCCAAAGGTGGCATTCTTGGGGCTCTGGTCCAAAATCTTAATACTGTATATCCAAGTTCTGACAAGGATCCCTTTCACTTTGTTATTATTTTCCTACACAATAGTTGTAGGATGAGAAGGCATTTCAGCAGGAGAAGCTAGAGGAGCCTTGCCTCAGTTTCCCTTCCTTTCTGTCTCACTGCTACTACCAGCTGACTGAGTACCAAGGAACCAGCATTGTGGGCTCACAGGTTGTGTTCACTTAGTGCTTCTTCAGGAGGTGTGTAAAAAATCCACACTGCTAAGCTGCTGAACTGGCAGCCATAGCGGCTCATCCTTTCTTGCACCAAATCTAAACCCAGCTGGCTGTATAGCTCAGTGATTTAGGCATCCTGCTGCGGACCCAGAAGCTGGGAGTTCAGTTCCCCACGGTGCATCCCAGAAGGGCCAGCCTGTGTAGCCTTGTGCAAACTGCACAGTCCCAGGATATCCACAAAAGAAACAAATGGAAAACCACTTCTGACTACTCCGTACCTAGGCAATTCTAGAAAAAGAGTTGTCGTAAGTCAGAATTGATTTGATGGCATCTCGTGGTGCAGTGGTTAAACTCCAGTACTACAGTGAAGATGCAGCGCATGGTCTGAGTTGGATTCCAGGCTAAGGTAGCCATTTCGAGGTTGATTCAACCTTCCATCCTTCTGAGGTCAGAAAATTGAGTACCCAGCTTGCTAGGGTATGTTTAGCTGGCATAATTAATTTGTAAACTGCCCAGAGAGTGCTTGGAGGGCGATGGGACAGTATATAAGCAGCATACTTTCCTCTGCTTTTTGCAATGGTGTATAATTTTTGTTTGTGTAAACCCAGGATATGGAAGCTTTGTGGTTCTGCTTATGGGCTGTCAAGTTACACTCAACTTGCAACAGCAACACTCATGGGATTTTCAAGGTTTGTGAGATACTCAAGGGTTGGTTTACCCCTGCCATCCACTCTTCAGTGAGTTACTATGGCCATGTGGGAATTCCAACCCACGTCTCCTGAGACCTGTCCACTAGACTGCACTGGAAGCTTTGATTCTTTGGACTTATGCCCAAAGCTCTACATGCTGGACCAGCAATTTCAGTGCAGAGATTTGCCCTCTTGACCATTTCACCAGATTTAATCAGCATTAAGAGGCTACCGATGCCCACCCTCCCTCTTCGTCACTCCACAAAAGACTCATTGCTTGGTTTATCGACTCCACAATGGATTTAATTTTGTAGCCGATGCTTATCTTATCTGATGCAACATAAACATGAGTATTCTGTGTGCAGAAGGACTGTTGGTTTTGTAAGTGAATCCTGTAGGGTCGCCCTTCCACCATTTCAGTTTCTGAGCCATCGTGACATATTGCTCCTGCAAATCCTGACAGTGACAACAGAGAATTGGGGCCGTGGGGGTGGGAGGAGAGATGGTGTGCATAGCAAACTAAGGTCCGCCACGCCCCCCCTCCCATGTCCAATTCTATTTCAAAATACTGAAATACTGGACAACACCAGCAATCATTACGTCAGACTGCACAGGGAAGCCATTGAAATCCACAAGCACCAGCAGAA